AAATGAAATTAATAAATTAGGTAAAAAATTATATAATATATTAAGTACACCTGTTATTGATAGTTAATATAGAAGAAGAAACACAGAAATTATATGGAGAACAAGTTATAATATTATCTGAAGCTCAAAAGAACTCGGATGAGAGTGACTTGAACGATGGAAACAATAGCACTGAGAAAAAAAATAAATACAATTCTAAAGCAGTGGAAAAAAAGACAAGGGACTTATATGCAGGAGAATTATTTGGGGGTTATCTATTTGTTATGTTATTGCATCCATTGCATTTAATGGAAATGATGAGGAAATGATAGGTGATGATTCTCTGGAAGAATATTTTGCGGATGGCGATGATTTTAATGGGGACTATAAGGAAGAAATCATAGATGTTTGCTTTGACGTGAATTATAATTCTGAAGAGTAAATACATATTATTACTTATACAAATAAAAATATATTTCATAAATCATATTATATAAGAAGATTATAATAATCCATTTTAATAAAGTTCAATAAGATAAGATATGCACAAATGAAATATATTTTCCAAATAAGGATGACACAAAAAAAGACTAATTTCATAAACACTCAATAATAATTGTAATATATAAATACATATTTCATATATTGTATTTATTAGATAAATTAATCATAATAAAATAACTATTGTGTGACCACATGTGCAGTAATATATAATGAACATAATTTTTAAAAAGACCATCACTAAAAATTAAAATGTATAAGATAGCTTAAATATATCGAATATCATTTCAAAAAAACCAACATACACATAATCGAAACACCAAGCATAATAATTAACCCCTGAAACCTAAAACCTGAACCCCTTATATCGCTCAGGGATATGTTGGAATATAAATAAAACTATATTTATCATCTTAAATATATATTTATTTTATTTTAATAAGGTTTGCACATATTTTAATTCAATAATAAAAGAACAAAAATTTATTTAAAAGAATTATTAAGATATAAATAATAAAGTTTTTATGTGATGTTATAAAGAGTTATGTTATGTGAATTTATTTCCACAATTATATAAAAATTATTACATCCAGGTTTAAGTAGAATTGAAAAAAATTAAATTTTTGTAAATGCATAATACATATGGGAAATTATATTATTAATTTAAATAGGTTTACTTGAAATTTAGACATAAGAAACGTCTAAATTTTATATACTTCTTAATGATCAAAATATAGTATGATTTGTGTTACATTACAAATAATTTATTCATCCGTAAAATATTTAACAATATAATTAAAATTCATAAAAAAACTAAAAATGATATATGAATAAATGTTATATACAATTCATATTATAGCGCCTGCTTTAAATATATATTTTTGTAAAATGATACAAATTAAATTAATATGACAAGTAAGTTATTGTTATACTACAAATATATAAAAATAGACATATGTAAAATATACAAATATATTAACACATGCATTTATTCTATTAAAATATATTCATGTAGTAATGGTAGTTTCAGTATTAAATATCATATTTGTTGTATATTTTGTGTCCACTTATTACATACATCACAAAAAAAAAAATAATTACCATATACACTCATCCGGAAAATATTTTATAAAAGGAAATATCATTGTTATACATATATATATATTTTTCAGATATAAAATGAATGATAAAAGATAAAAAAATAATAACAGCAGCAAAAATTTTTATAATAGAAGACATCTCTAAATCTAAATCCTTAATCATAACCTTAAAACAATGTAAAAATTTGGATTTTTTTTATATTTTTATATTTTATAAATATTTATATTAACATGAAATTCATGTTATGTATCATTTATTGTTATTTTATATATTCATTTTTTTATTTATATATTAGATCATTTTATATATTTTTGTATCCTTTTTTCTGCTTAATATTGTATTTTAATATATAATTTTATTTTATTTTTTTAGTACGATTATTAGTATCCTACATATATAAATATGGAATTTTCTAATTTTTTCTAACCCATATACAGCAATATAATTATGATTGCATAAAAGTTACATAATCTTTTTAAATATGTATGTTAGTATTTCCTTTCTGAAACATATGATACATTATAACATTTTTCTTTCAAATTCCTATGATAATGTTTTCTGTTACACATTTCTTGTTGGTATGTTCCGTCTTTTATATTTCTATTCATTCTTTTCATTCTTGGAATGTGATTTCGTAAATAATTTCCTGACGTATTAATCTAATATTAAAAAAATATATATTGATTTTATAACTATAATTACTTGATGAATCCATTTTTTTTTTTTTAAATATATAATAATATTATCTGTATAACACAAAAATTTTAAAATAACATTTTATTTAACCTTATACATACAATAAAGTACTGTTCCTAAAAATACACTACTAAGTGTAGATGCTATTATAACATTGATATTAAGAGGTTGAATATAAGTATTATTACTTAAGTACGTATTTTTTCCTTCTGAATATTGCTTTAAATATAGTTTTTCTTGAGATTCATTACATTCATTTTTATTCCATGCTTTATATTTATTTTCTGACATTCCATTTAACATACTTTTGCAATTATTATTGATTAACTCATTATTTTCAATTGAGCATCTGAGATTATATAACTCTTTGTGTAAATTTATATCTTCATTATATTTTTTGATAATTTCATTATAATCATTAATTAAATCATTTAACTCTTCGCAATCATTATGATCATCATTATCTTCTGAATCCGGATTTAATATGGATTCATAAAGATCATATAGCTCAAATAATTTATCCAATTTATTAAATTCTGCATTTCCTATATGTTCTATTTTCGGCACACATGTTTTATAAGATTCATAATTTTTATTGCTTTCAATATAGTTTTTAAGATGATTAAAAATTTCTTTTTCCTTTTCAGGAAAATACACTTTAATTTGGTGTCTAATATAGTAGTTAATATAGTTACAACATTTCCTGTTGTTATAAGTATCATTAGAAGACATATTGTTAAAAAGTTCTCTTATTTCCTGACAAATTTTAATAAAATTATCGTGTTCATTATGTTCTAAAGTAACTGAACTTTCATTAATGAAACTCTCAATATCGCTAGAATTTTGAGTAGATATTTGCAACGAATCAATAAATTCCCTACAAGAGCTGTAATCTATCCACTTAATATACTAATAAATAATATATAAATAATGATGAATCCATATATTATAGAAATCTGAAAAAATAAATTTTATTCTCAAATTTTACATAGTGTTCAAGTAATATTAAGTAATTTATATATTTCGAAATTTAATAAGGTACCGTTTTATTTATTTCAGCAGGTGTCATATTTTATCTAAAAAAAAAATTAATTTTATAAATAATGTCTCTATTAATATTTATTCACTAAATCATCGAGTAACGATATACATATATGTTCTTTTGTTTTATTATGAATTTTAATATTTAATGAAATTTTCCCCCATAGTACAGTTGTGCTTGTCTTATAAAATTATATTATTGTATAATTATTACATTTGAGAATTATAAATGCAAGTGAATTGCATACTAAATTTAAAATATAAATTAGTAAATATTATATAATAAAATAATTAATAGATATGTTCAAAAATGTAATGTTTATATGATAAAATTATATTACTCTTAAGAGTCATACAAAAAAATCAGTATCACCTTAATAATCATATATATTTTTAGAAAAATACGTACAGCAAAAATATATAAATATGTATCATTCGTTTTAAACAATGGAGTCCTTAATATTAAACCATTAATTGTATATGATAACACAGCACTTCTTATAATATTAATTGCAATACAAAGAATAAAAATTGTGTGTATAATTTATTCTTTCTATATTAAGTTAATTACAAGATACCATTGCTTAATAATGTTAATTAAATATTCATATACATTAATATTATAAAAAAAAAAGTTAATCCGATGCATCAAAACGAATGGGAATATAATATTATTAATTATATAAAATCTATTTTTTACAAATCATATAAGTTATATGATTGAAGCAAATATTCTACCTCTTATAGTGATTATATATTTTAGGTTTAGGGTTCAGTTTTCATGGTGTAGTGTCTACGGTTTAGTTTATGTTTTATAGTTTAGGTATCATGATTTAGATATATTGTTGAATATATGGATTTATATTTTATAATTTATGGTTGAGTATTTAGGGTTTTATGTTTTATATTTTAGGATTTAGGATTCTCTGTTCAGAATTTAGGCTTTTAATTGCTAGATTTCAGGTTTTTGATATTAGGTTTTTTGTTTATAGTTTTTACTTTATGGATATTTTTCATTTTTTAAATTGACACTTGATATATTAATGTTTTTTTCATATTTTTTAATTCTTTTTGTGAGTATTTACTATAATTATATTTATTATATATTGTTACATGTTTTTACACTTAATAGCAATTACATTAGGATATAATTATTGAGTATATATAATATATTATTTATTTATTACATTATTTTATATGTTTTTATATAATTTGTATTTTTTTATGTTATTTTTATTTTGAACATTTTTTTATTGTTTTACAATTTTATTTTTTTAATTTTATAAAAATTTTTTTCTTATTATATATATTTTTAATATAATTTTAAATATATTTTTTTTATTTTTTATTCGCTAATATGAATTTTCTATACAAAATTATCATTTTTTTCAATATATACATATACTCCTTATTCAATATGATGCTCTTTATGTGTATTAGCGACTTTATATCAATTATGTGTAAATGCACTTTTTATGTTTTCTAATTGTTCCGATTGAATGCATAGCATGCATCACCATAACAAACAATTAAAACCAAAATAAATTAACCTGCATATTCATCCCATGTCATTTCGAATTCTATCTTAGAATTATATCGATTTTTATATTCAGTAATATTGTTATCACCGTTAACTTCACTCTCATCTGAGTTTTTTTTTTCTTGAAATAATTTTGGAACTTGTTCTTCATATTATTTCTCTTTTTTTCTTCTATATAATTTAGAAATTTCACATGACAATCAAATGAATTATAAATAACAAGTCCATTTAATATGTTATATTCATTTTTTTCTAATTTAATATTTTCAATTTCAGAATAATTTATTAAAGTGACATTTTGCCTAATTGATCTTCTAAGATATTAATTATATTATCCGAAGCATCCATTAAATATTTTGCAGAGATATATAATTATTTACATACTCCGTGGATAATGTTACAAATAATGTAAACACCTCCTTTTTTGTTGTTTTAATTTTATCCAAGATGTTACTAACTTTC